TCTCCCTGGCCGTAGCAGGTCTGGGGGCCAGAGCTGCAGGAGAAGCTGGTACCTTCATGCCTCCCCACCACATCCCCGAGCGCCTGCGTTGCCCTTGATAGGCTGCTGCACGGCCGCGAAGCATAGAGGGAACTTAGGCCCCGAGGCGCGCGCAGCCTAAATGGAGAAGCAGCACTGACATCCTGCAGGATCCAGGGGACAGCTCTGCCGCAAGGCAGCTTTAGGACTGGGACTTCCAAAGAAGCTGAAGGGAATTAGTGGTCAACTCCTGTCAAAGTTCAACGGGTTTTGGGTGCCTCACTCCCTTAGGCTCTTTTAAAAACCTCATTCTTCGGGGGGGGTATGTGTGTGTGTGTGAATTTTTGAGGCTGTGGGATGACGTGGATTTGTGGCAGTTACGGGCTTCACAGGAGAATCAGGATGGAAGGAAGGGCCTGGAAGAAAAGATGAGGGTGGGGAGACCTTCTGGGGTGCAGAGAGAGGGAGTTCCAGTTGTAGCGGGTGGCATGGAAGTGGGAGTGTGAGTTTTTGATGGGCTGCAAGGTGAGGAAAGAGATGGTGGAGCTCTGTGCCGAGATGAACGGGGAGGCTGAGCTCTGAGGGAATTCTGGGTACCTGATGTCTGCTAACCATGGCTGCACTCACATCACGAATGGGAATTTTCTTGTGACGCATTGTGTTTGGAGCCATGAGCCAAGATGACCCCATTCCCAGTAACTCCCTGCATCATCACATGTGTGCTGCTGAGCGCCGGCTGAACCTTATCTATGGAGAATTTTGCATATCGGACGCTTTTTTCCAAGTTTCTATTACTCTGCAGTCCCTGTCTGTCTGTCCCCTCCCCGTTTAAGAGAAATAAAGGAATTGCTGACGAGGGGCGACTGTCTTGTCTTTAATCAGGTGCTCCTTATTCTCACTCTGTCAGCTGCTTGTGCTCAGATAAATCCAGCTCATATGCAAGGATCTGTCTCATCTGCCTAGGGCAGCCCACTGTTCCTGTCAAAAAGAAATGATGATGGGGCGGGGGGGGGGGGAAGAAGAGAGGCTGGCAAGATTGGGGGTATGCAAGAAAAACAAGGACAATATAGTATGCAGTGTTGGTGTAGCCGTGTTAGTCAACCCAGGGAAGAGATCCCAAATCTTGAGCTACTCAGAGCAAGACTTTGGGGCCAATTTAAAAACAAAACAAAACAAAACCCGAACCTCTCCCCAGGTGGCTTGGATTGTGAAGTCAGGTTTATGTGAAGTCTCAGCTGTGCTACGATTTTGCTTTCCTACAGATAATGTCAACTGACTTCACCCAGACTTGTATCTGGGAGTGTGTTGTGATGGGAAACCTGGAACCGCTGAGTTACCGGGAAGGTAAATTTCCACTCCATCCTTGAAGTTTTAGGCAGATCAGAAAGGAATTGCAGAGACATCTCTCTCTCTCTTGCCTAGCTGTTGCCAGCTGGCTAACATTTGCCCTTTCTGGGTGGGTTGGGGGAGGCATTTCTTTTCCAGCCCAGGGACCCTGATGTGGGTCTCCCAAGTCCCATATTTATACATCCTGCACAGTTTTAGGTAATCAGCAAATGCTGTCACCGGCTCGCCGAAGACACTCAGCCTGAGTAATTTTACATGTCGGCACCATCCATCACAGAGATGCAACCCACAAACATGTGAAAAGCTGCTGAAGGGGGCGGAGATGGCTTCTGGCTGTGAACCTTGCTGGTCAGTCCATTTCCCAGCGAAGAGCGTGGAGAGCATGTTAACCCCTTTCGGGATGTGGCTGCAAAAGGAACACGACTGGGCTTGTATTCCTTTCCTGAAAGCCCTAAAACCTTGGATTGCTTGGGCTTTGCTATGGCATTTACTCCTGAAAATATCTTGCCAACACAGAGAATGGCTCAAGCAGTAGAGGTGGGAGACCTTGTCTACACTACAGGTTACTTCGGAATAACTTAAGTTGCTCAGGGGCGTGAATAATCCACAACCCCTGAGCGCCGTAAGTTATACCGACCTAAACTTTGGTGTAGACAGCGCTACGTTGGTGAGAGAGCTTCTCCCGCCAATGTAGCTGCTGCCTCTGGTGGAGGCAAGAATTATTAAATTGACGAGAGAGCTCTCTCCCGTCGGCATAGAGCATCCCCCCCACAAGCACTGCAGTGGCTCAGCTGCACGGCCATAAGTGCTGTGGTGGAGATGTAGCCATAGAGACTGTTGGTCAGATAACTAGGGTTTACATGTGCTTCCATTCCCATCTGCATGGGTTCTCGCTGCCCTGAGTTTTGAATCTCACTCTGAATCGAAGCTGCAGAGTCTCACCTGGTTTTGAGCTCCACAAGGAGCAGGAAAGCTGGCAGAACCCTCGTTCAGACCCACGCGTTGGCCCAGGCACTCCCTGTGAGCCTGGGCAAACACTCTGATGTCCCTGGGCTAAGTTTCAAGCTTGGGATGGGACCTGTAACCTCATGAGCTCCACAGGCGTTCAGGTTTCCTTGCAGACTTTTCGCACATGGCTCTCTCAAGCAGCCTTCATCTCAAAGTGCCCTGCTCTTTCCCCAGGGTAAATGCTGGCCCTTCTCGACTAGCCTGGTAGTTTGCAGTGACATTCCCTGGCGGCATGCCCTGGTAGTCTGGTATTGATCCGCTGTGTGGAAATCAGATGCTAGGTGCTAACAGTGATTAGGACGTGGCAGGAAGGTGATACGGCTCACCCGCTTTGACGATCTACGTTCTTGGTCACAGGGTATTGTTTAAAGCCCTCTGCCTTGTTGCTATGAGCGCAGGGGCAGGAAGCCTCGGAGCAGTTTATATAGCCATTGCCACATGCTGATAATCCTTTACCGTTGCGTTAACGCGTTCCAATCATTTGCTATCTTTTAGGACCTTAGTGGAAATATTCACCTAGCTCCAGGTAATTAACGGCTGCACTTTAGTGCCCTAAATCACACACTCGGTAAAAAATACCGAGCAGCAGGCACCGTTCACCGTGGCGAGAATCATTGCAGCACCCTTAATCGCTCCTGGTGCCTTCTGGGTTGTCTTGGAGCTTTTGAGACCAGTGCCAATATTCAGCTTTCAAGCCACCTGCTTTTGAGAGCTTGCCACCCTCCACTTGCATACCCTCCGCCCTTTCCTGCCTGTGGGCTGCTTTCAGGATTTTGGAGGTGCCCTCAGCAAGCTGAGTCCTGGGAGGATCCCTAATCTGCAATCACGTGGTGACACTGGCGTCTCATGCTATGCACTTTGAGGGTGAGAGGAGCTGGATGGATGGATGGTTGTGTTTGTCGGGACACCTACGTTCAACCCCTTTCCCGCTGCACCAGGGAAGGAATGACGAATAGGTCATATTCCCTTATTGATACAGCAAACTCTTAGAGGCGCAGCAAGCCCCAAGCTGCCAGTTCTGCATTGTTCGGGGGTCCGCTTCCAAACGGCCAGCAGTGTGGCCGCAGCTGAGGGCTGGCTTTGTCATCTCCCCTTTAAGGAGCGGGGCCCATTCTCGGCGCCGGACTCTGGGCGGACTTGACACAGCACCCTCTCCTGGAGGGACTAGATGGCTTAATGGATTGATTGAATGGGATTCCTGGTCTTTTGCATTGCATCCATGCTCTTAATGCAACCTAGGCTGGTGGAGACCAGACTTGTTCCTATCTGAAGGCTGTTGGGTTGCAATGTGAGATGAGTTGGTTTAGTTCCTAGCTGGGGAGTGTTCCGTTCACAATATATTGCTCTCCACCTCCTCTCCCTTATTGGCAGTCTCAGCAGAGGCTAAGGTCTGAGTGGGCCAAGTGACCAAGGGCAGAGGCATGTTGGTGAGACTATGGGGGTGAAGCTGGCGCTGCTTCTGTCTGTGCCTACGTGCTCTGCTGATCGACAGACACCCGTCTCCGGGGCTGTCCGTTCTGTGCATTTCCCCAGCTCTCTCCCCCCTCCCACTCATCGCGGTGATTAAGAATTTTACAGGGCAGAAAGTGCGCTTTCATTTGCTGGACTCTTGCCAAGAAGTGTGGAAATTGTACTTCTGCATAGAATAAAGGGGGTTTTAAAGCAGTAAAATATTTTAATGGCAGTTCAGAGGGCCACCGTCAACCCCTAGAGGTCTCTTTTCTTTTAATTTTCCATGAGGATTGGCAGACTCGTGCCAAGTCTATTCCTAAGTTGATTTTTCTAACTTTTGCTTCTCCTAAATGTTTAAAACCACCGATGGGAGGCGGGGGGAAGGAGGGGGCTCTGCCTGGTCAAATGAGTCTGAGTGCATCTGGGCGCCCCTAGCTGGGGGATGTAGCAGACCAGTGGACGTGTTACTCTTTGGGCATGGGCAGGCTCATCTTTCCACGGCTTGTTTTTGTTCCTTGGGAACATCAAAGCAAAGGGGGCGGGTGAAGTCACAGCTCCATTTTTCTTCCCTGCTGTTTGTATTGCGGTAGAGCCTAGGGGCTCCAACGGAGACCACAGCTCCCTAGGCCCACAGCAGAGACAGCTTATGGTCTAGACCCACGCAACAAAGGGAGAGGAAGCAACTTGACCAAGGTCACACAGCCGGTCGGTGGCAGATCAGGGAACAGAACCCAGGTCTCCTGACTCTGTTTCATGTCCTGTATTCTGGACCACATTGCCTCTCATCTCCGCCTGCTGACCTCTGAGGCAGATATGCCAAAGTCCATGTGGTTCACTGTGCTTGGGTCCTTAGGAGAGTGGCTTAAACTCAAGGTCCTCACTGCCATGTAGATAGAAAGCTCTTTAGGGCATTTTTTTGTTCTGTGTTTGTACAGGGCCTAGCACACTGGTGGTCCTGATCTATGACTGTGCTCCTAAGTGCTACTGCAATACAAATAATAACACCCGGACTTTAATGAGCCCATGTCTTTATCTGGAGAAGCAGGGGTTTAAAGAGATGGCAGAAGGGGAAGCTGGATAATGATTTCCTGAGTTTTGCTGAGGAGAGCACAGCTAAGTTTTGTGGGTGAGCCCCTAAGATGGCAGTACTGATTTTTCTCCTCACTTCCTTTCAGGTGGAATTGGGTTTGGACGTGCCAAGGGAAACTCTGGCTCAGAGGCAGATGACGAAACGCAGCTGACCTTCTATACCGAGCAGTATAGGAGCCGGAGACGGAGCAAAGGTAAAATAAAAGAACCCGCAGTGACACAGCAGCTGTGAGAGGCAAAAGAAACAAACACTCCAGTTTACCTCCTTTCGCTGCACCCCTAGCTAAGAGGTCTGAAATAATTTGACTCTTGGTCCATAGGTACAAATCTTCATGCCCAATAGCTAACATCAGCCTATTCATAAAGATTTCCCAGCCTGGGACTATCCCCTGCCAGCTACTAGCATGTGGGAGACATTAGCAGTTTCCTAGTGATTATATTAATTGGGTTGGTTGCTTGTTCATGGCTATTCCCTGGTTTCCAATATCAGCCACATTAAAGATTTAGGAAGCACTGATCAGTGACCCCAGCATTTCCTCCCCTTCTTTCCCCTTGATGCACCAGACCCCCAGCATGCTGGAAGTGGAGTTGGATGGATGGATGGAGCTGGTCTTCCCAGTTTTGAACAGTATACAGCTAATTGGAAAAACATCCATCACTGAAACACTAAGCTGTAGATCTGAATTAAGGAAAGGGGAGGGATGGGGAAGCACAGCCCTTCAAAAGTCTCCAGCTAAGTACCATTTCCAGTGCATTATATTGTAACTACCGTGGGTTTTCAGTACAGCCTTGCTAAGAGTATCATGGACATTATGTTTTAAGGCCTTATAGACACTAGGCATTTCAGCCACTGGCAGCCAGCCACTGGTGTCACTGCACCAGTTCATACCTCTGATGTCAACACACACAAGTGTGATAAGCCACAGCTTGTACTGGGGAAGTTTACTATCCATGGCAGTGGTGCTCAAAGTGTCTTCACTAGGGATTTGCGTTGGTAGAGCCGTGCTATTGGTCCAGCCACCCATGACTGTAATGGTGGCGTTTCCTGAGGATATGTAAAGCTCAATTTCTGTCACTTAAAGTTTCTCAGCAAATTTCCTATTGGACTTGAATTTTCCATGTTTTTGTTCTCAGCCCAAAAGCAATTAAAAAACAAACACAAAATTGAGGTTGAGGCAAGGACTTAATCTCGTAAGTCACGTTGTGAGTTAAAAGAGAGAGAAAGTCTCTTCCAGGGTTTAAAACTACTTCCTACGTTTTCCCCCATTCAAATAATACCAGGGATCACTTTGTTTCTAAACCTCTGATCTAGTGTGTGTTTAGCCTTCAATAGGGGAAATAGGTGACTTTTGTTGCTGCTGTTGCTAAGTCTGAAAACCACCATTAAGAAATAACCAAGTTGGAAAGTGATTTTAAGATTGCACCGGTGGCTCTGAGTCCTGAATTTGTTTTCTTTGTTAAGCCAAGCAGAGCCAGAGTGCAGCATTCTAGATAGATGCCAGAGCCCACCAAACTAAATACAGCTCCATTTATTTCCGAGATTAGGCATTCAGATAAATGCGCATAACATGTTTATTTCAATGTGAAATTACCTCCACACCTACGGTTGGCCCAGTGATTTCACGTTAGAACAAACACACACATTGCGTTTATTTATGTGGAATAGGATTTGCGTTCAGGTGTGTTCTTGTATCTTCGTTCTTTTAGAAGAAAGGGAAATCCAATGTTACATAAATTTTCACTGGAATTATACTTGCCCTTTTAAGCACGGAAAGTCAACAAAGGCTTCCCGTGGCAGCATTGCCTTAGTCTTGTTAAAGATACAGGCCTCAATTTTGGAAAAGGGGCTAGTGAATTTGGATGCTTCAGTTTTTGCTGTGAAATGAGTTCTCCCACTTCAAACGTCATGTAGAGAGCAATCCTGCAATGGCTGGAAGACAAGATACATTTTTCAAAAGCGTTGAAGTGACTTAGACCCCAAGTCCCATTGATTTTCAAGGAGTCACTTTTAAAAATGGGACTTAGGGTACTAAGTCATTTAGGCACTTTTAAAAACCCCACCCATGGGATTCAGTGTTTGTTTCTCAACCAGTGGGTTTGTTACCTCTAGGGGTGTGGGTAGGGAAACACACAAGGCAATCGGGGGGTCATGAGTCACTGGAGATTTTATTACAATCTAAAGCAAATAAATTCTTGCTCCTTCTTTCCCTTCCTCTTCAAATTCAGTGTTCTCTGTCTGGTTATTACTTATACTTAACAGTAAGAGTAAAAAAGGTAAAGGGAGCGGATTGCAAAATTTCATAGAATCATAGAATATCAGAGTTGGAAGGGACCTCAGGAGGTCATCTAGTCCAACCCCCTACTCAAAGGACCAGTCCCCAATTTTTGCCCCAGATCCCTAAATGGCCACCTCAAGCATTGAACTCCCAACCCTGGGTTTAGCAGGCCAATGTCAAACCACTGAGCTATCCCTCCCCCTAAATTTGTTGAACTCAAATAAGGGGTCACCATCCTGAAAAGGTTGAGAAACGCTGAGCTAGATGATCTAATAACCCATCTGTCTCTTCAATGGAACCACAAGTCTGGTTTTGCTAGATGCACAAATGACCTTGGCTATTTCTCCATTAACCAGAGGGTTTTTTTTTTTTGGTTTGTTTTGGTTTTTAAATAAATAAGCTCCCTGAATAAAACTCCATTGCCTTTCCCTGTTGCTTGGCTAAACTTTACCTTTAACGGTGTCTTGGAAGAAATTTTCCATTATTGTCTTTGCTCCCTTGTGTGAAGAAAGCACTAGCTTAGTGGGAAGTTACAGCATAAAAATAATAATTACTGCTACAACAAAGTTCCATAATTGGACAGGCTCATCATTCTAATAGAGAAGGGTGCAGACTCAGATACAGTTTATTGTTACAATGATGTTCTAATATTGATTCCACTATGGCTGTGTGTCATTGTAGGTGCAATGGGATAGTCAATGAGTCCAATGAGAGAGATCTTTCCCACAATTTCTCTCCTTAGACTGGTTTTTGCAGGACAGAGTACAATTTCTGAAGCATTGGTGGTGCTTATCAGAGTTGATGTGGTGGGACCTCTTCAGATGTATGTGATTTGTTAGTTACAGCATGCATGATAACTTCAATTTATGTCTAAACGATCCTGTAAACTCAGGGTAACACATGGATTTTCTTTGTGCTTTGGTCAAGTAAGCTAGTTAGGTGGCTGTACATTATAATTGTTGCAAATGGCTGCAGGTTGCACACATCAAGGGATGCAGGAGGAATTGTTCGAGGGGGTAGGCCAAAGGAACATAAATAAATTGTCCATAGTTGTTTTTTTTTGTGTGGGTGAGAAGGAGGATATTCCTAACAGTGAGGTCTCTTTGACTGTGGAATAGCCTCTCATGAGAAGGGGTCAAAACCTCCCTGCTTGATTGCTTAAAACTGGAATGGACAAAGCATTGAGAATATAAAAGAGAGAATCAGTCTACATTGGCCAGGAATACAGACTAGTCGATGTAGTGGGAGTCTTCTCTCTCTAATCTCTGAATTCTGTGATCCCAGTCATACCATGTTAGAGATCTTCCCATCTTATAGTTGCTGGATCCCTTCACTGGTAGGCACTAATGTTCCTGTGTCTTTGGAATCATCTTGGAGATGATGGGAAGAAACATGGGGAAACAAAGGAGAATTTTCCCTTGGTCAGTGGTGCAGTGTTCCCTTTCAATGTCTGTCTGTCTGCTCAATCAAGTTCGTGGTGGAAACTGGAGGCTGGATGAAGGCGTGGGGTTTGAATCCAGAAAGAACTAAAGCTCAATGCTAATCAGGAGAGGTCCTTGAGGGGCTGGCTAGTACCATCTCTTTGCCCTTGTTGGAGGGCACATGCACTCTTGTATGAAGCCTGTTGGTCATCCTGGCTTGTTGCTGACCATGAGGAATCAAACAGCAGTCACTAGAAGTGCTGTCTTCCACCTTCTTCGGACAACAAAACTGTCCTTTCCTCTCCAACGAAGACCTGGCCATGGCTGTTCATGTGTTCTTCATCTGCAGGTCAGACTGCTACATGATGCACTGTCCCATCTCCTGACCACACCACTGCACCTCATCCTTTACTGGTGCTCCATGCCTTACCCAGTCCCATTCACTGCTCTGCAAAGTCCTTGGTGGGATCCATGTTATCTCAGACCCGCTCTTTTATAGGAACCCTTGGCAGCAGCTATGATCACCTGGTCTGCCATGCTTATAGGAAGCCATAGGCACCAACTCCATGGGTGCTCTGGGGCTGGAACCCCCTTGGGGAAAAATTAGTGGATGCTCTGCACGCACTGGCAGCCAAGCTCCCCTGATCCCCAGAGCGCGCCGTGTCCCCGCTCCTCCACCTACCTCCCAGCGTTTCCCACCCGGCTGCCGCCAAACAGCTGTTTGGTAGTGTTAGCACACTCTGGGATGGGGGAGGAGTGGGAACGTGGCACGGTCAGGGGAGGAGGTGGAGAAGAGGCGGGCCGGGGTGGGGATTTGGGGAAGGGGTTGGAATATTGGCAGGGAGGGCGTGGAGTTGGGGCGGGGACTTTGGGGAAAGGGTTGGAATGGGGGTGGGAAGGGGTGGGAAGAGGTGGGGCCTCATGTAAGGGGTGGAGTGGGGGCGGGGCGGGAGCAGAGGGAGGGTCGAGCACCCATGGGAAAGAGGGGAAGTCGGCACCTATATTGGAAGCCACATACGGACTTAGTGCAGCAGTCAGCAGAGCCTGCTGGTTATGCTACCTAAGCCCTGTAACAGCCTCCCCAAGGAGATGAGAGTCTCCTGCTTGCCATCCTACAGTCACGCTGCAAGGCAAGGGTCCTCAGCGAACCGGACAGCGGAAAACCCACTGGCATCCACAAGCAAACAGCCCGTTATTAGCCTGGAGCAAGGCAGAGGGCTAGCATGGTGCTCAAAATCAGAAGTTATGATTAGACGTAGGCTAGGTCAGGGAATTGGCTGTCTTCCTTCCCCCAATTGTGCGTGTTTTAATACTGCACTAGAATACTCCAATGATGGGCATTTTAATAAACCCTTCGAAATGCATTTGCACCATCAAAACCCACCAGCGCAAGTGCCGGTGCTCCCCTTGGCAGCCTCCGTGGGAGATGCCAAGGAGCAGACGAGCCACAGAAGCGAACTTCGTTGCTCATTCCAGTCAAGTGAGGGCTGGCAGGGC